CGTCCTCTTTGCTCGCAAAGCGGATGGAACTCTCCGTCTCTGCATCGACTATCGCGGTCTCAACCGGTACACGGTTAAGAACAGCTACCCCATGCCTCGTTCCGACGAGTTGTTCGACCGCCTAGCAGGCAACCGCTTCTTTACGAAGATTGATCTTCGTAGCGGTTACCATCTGATCCGCGTCGCTGCAGCGGACAAGCCGAAGACGACGTTCCGATCGCGCTTCGGCCACTACAAGTTTACGGTGATGATATTTGGCTTCACCAACGCACCTGCTACCTTCCAGAGGGAGATGGACGACATCTTCAGGGACATCCAGGAGTCGTACCCTCGAGGAGCATCTAAGACACCTTCGCGACGTCCTTGACCGCTTGCGCAGACATGGCTTCTACGCCAAGTTGAGCAAGTGCCGCTTTGCCCAGCACAAAGTGGATTTGTTAGAACACTATGTGTCTGACCAGGGTCTCCACATGGACGACGCGAAGATCACTGTTATTGCGGAGTAGCCCGTCCCCACATCCGCCAACTAGCTTCGCAGCTTCCTAGGCCTCACTAGCTACTATAGTAATTTCATCCAGGGATACGTTAGGTATTCCTACGTCCTTACCTCCACCCTCCTCCGGAAGAACCCGCCATGGGCTTGGACACCCCGCCACGAGGACGCCTTCCACGCCCTCAAGAAGGCGGTGACATGTGCACTGGTTCTTCACCTACCCGATTTTGATCGCCCTTTTATCCTTACCACCGATGCGTCAGACTTTGTTGTAGCAGCAGTGCTTTCTCATATTTTCCCCTCCTCTCCTGATTCCACTCATCCTCGCATCCCTCGCTTCCCACCCCCTACCCCTACCACTGCTTCCCGCTTGACGCCTACTCGTCCAGCTACTGACGAGCCTTCTATTGACTATTCTGCTACCATCGTCGAGGATGGCTCTGTCGAGTCTTTCTCAAGTGATTGTCCGATAGCCTTCTACTCCCGTCACCTCATGCCCGCCGAGATAAACTACACCGTTGATGGACGTGAGGTTCTCACAGTAGCTTATGCTGGTCGGCACTGGCGTCACTACGTGCACCGGGCACCATTTACGGTGCGCACGGACAACTCTGTCCAGACTTTTTCTGACAGAGCCGAAGCTCATTCCTCGAGAGGCTCGCTTGTGTCGCGACCTATTCGAGTTTAGTTTCACCACTATGCACATCAAGGGTGAGACTAATTGGGTCGCAGATGCCTTATCCTGATGCCCTGACCATGATCAGGAGCAGATCCAACTCACTGCCATCTCGATCACCACCGTCCACCACTCGGTGATCGACGGGTTTCACACTAAGTACCACAACGGCCCCAACTATCGCGACATCCATGCGACCCTTAGGAGTGGCAAGACCGTACCGAACTACTCTTCCGGGGACAACGGTCTTGTGTACTTGCACAGTTCATAGGGCACCAGAGAGCCCGGTATTTGTGTTCCGTCTAGTGGACAATGACGTGTCCGGGCAGTAGCAGAGTTTCATGACCAGGCAACCGCCGGTCATATGGGTTTCCACAAGACGTTGGCTCGCATGAGCCGCCTGTACATCTCGTCGAAGCGCAAGGACTTTGTGAAGGACTACGTCGCAAAGTGTTCCACCTGTCAGGAGGTGAACAGTGGGAACCACCTGCCTTATGGTTTGCTCCAGCCTCTTCCTCTCCCTGAGGGTCGTTGGCAGTCCATCTCAATGGACTTTATTTGTCCTCTTCGTCCTCCGACCCCCTGCGGTCATGATGCTATCCTGGTCGTCGTCGACCGCTTCACGAAGAGCGCACGCTTTGTTCCGTGCCGCTATGTCATCATTGCACGTGAGGTCGACAACATCGTGTTTGACCGAGTCGTGCGTGACCACGGCTTACCTCTGAGCATCATATCTGACCGTGACCCGCGCTTTACCAGCCAATTCCGACGACGACTCCATGAGGTTTACGGCATCCAGCTCCGCTTCTTCTTGTCTTACCATCCCCAGACTGATGGTCAGACCGAGGTCACGAACATGACTCTCGAAGATATTCTCTGAAAGATTGTTCGTGACGACCAGCAGTGGGATCTCCATCTTGCCCACGCGGAGATAGCCTACAACCACGCCGTCTCATCAACCACGAGGATGTCGCCTTACTATTGCGACCTCGGCTATCACCCTTGTGTTCATGTGGACTTCCTTCGACCGTCATAGATATACCGAGACACGAGTTGTCCCGCGCGGGATGATTGGGATGCACACATGACGTCGATCATGAAGACTGCGCATGAGCACATAGCCACTTCGCAGATTCGCATGGCAGCACGTGCGAACGGATCGAGGATGGACCATCCATTCAAAGTTGTCGATGATGTGCTTATCAACGCTCGCCACTTACAGCTCGAAGCGGACACGCTTCGTAAGTTTCAGCGTCGCTTCTTTGGCCCATGCCGCATTCTCCAGGCCGTCGGTTTTGATACGGCTTCTAGCCCCGTCAGCTTCCGTGTGAAGCTGCCTGACTACCTACGCCAGGCTCGTGTCCACGATATCTACCACGTCTCGTTACTACGTCCCTACTGTAGACCGTCTGAGCATTTCGTTGGACGACCATACGAGCGCCCTCCACCCATCATGGTGGATTGCGACGAGGGGTTCCTCGTTTCAGACATCATTGGTCGCTGAGTCACCGACGACAACCCTCCCCATGTCGAGTATCTCGTACGTTGGAAGGGTTACCCTGATGAGGAGGCTACCTGGGAGCCCCTCGAGCACTTGCAGCACGCTCGCATGTTGGTGCGTGCCTATGACCGTGCTCGTCGTGTTGGGTTGACTGCTCCTCAACCCACTTAGCCTCCTCCTTCTCCCTCGGCTGAGGAGACCGCTGAAGTCGAGCCTGCTCGATCTGAGGCAGACCTTCAGCAGCATGTGAATGCTTCTGAGCGTCCACAGCGCACTCTTCATCGTCCTGCTCGATATGACGATTGACTCTGACTTATCTTCCCACTTCCTTGACTTCTCAGTACTCCATCCACTCCAGTTTTTCCACTTCAGCTCGTCAACGTTGCAGCTCTTCCTCAACGACATTCTAGACTTCTCATCATGGACGTCATGGGCAACGTCATGGACTTCGTCACGATCAGGTCTGCCTACTTCGGACGTCGTCACTCTCTTACCACCTTACCCTGTACAGTACCCTGGTTGTATCGCATGATGGTCTCCCTTTGCTAGGTTCCTCTAAGTTGGGCTCTCCCTTGGTATACGCATAGGCATCGGGACCGTAGCGTTGCCCTGGCTTCCCAGCTTAGGGATCCAACTCCGACTTCCCCCACCTTAGGAGTCATTTGCATGATTCCCTTACTCATCACTTTTTCTAACCTCTGCTGGCCCTCACGCTCTAGTTAGGCAGCCTCGCATGCTTCTGCTAGGTGCGCCCAGTATACCAGGCTCCCTTGTTCCCTTGCATGGTCGACCCTCCATAGCGGTCACCCTTTTAGTTGAGCATTACCCACCCTGATTGTCCATCTGTTCGGGTCATTGGTTCTGTTAGCTCCCAGTTCCCTACCCTCATTGAGGCTGATGACATGTGTCTCCCTGTCATTTTGTGTGGATGCCCTTAGAGTTATCGACCCCTAGGTTGCATTCGCCACCCTCAGAGACCATCCCACCCTGTGGTTTGCGACACACTTCTCCTGTGACATATGGTTGTCTTGTTGTTGCTTTGTTGCTCTCAGACTGAGGCTACTGCCTCTAACATTTTTAGGATTTAGTTGTTTCCGCTTTTTCTGTTCTTAGGACTTATACAATAGTCAGTTGTTTCCAGCCCGAGGCTACTGCCTCCAACATTCTAGGATTTAGTTGTCATTACTTTCTGCTTTCCTATGACATGTATCCTGGTTAGTTGCTTCTGCTCTCACTTAGGCTGTTAGCTGTGACATTGTTGTTCTTGTAACATTTTCTATCCTAGGTTGCATCGCAACATGGAGCTTGCTCCGCATCCTAGACTGCTCGGGTTTTCTTTTTCCTTGGTAGAGTTCCGCTTCTTGGAGGAAGCGTGCTTGTATCTAGGCGATCCATCACAAGTTGAGGATCGTGTAGCGGACCTCAAGTTGGCCTGTGAGACCAGCCCCTTGGCCTGTTCTCACAGGCCTGTGTTGTATTCGGGGTCGTCTAGTCCAGGCCGGTACCTCTGTCGGTACCAGCTTGTCCAGTTCAGTCCAGTCCATCCGCTGGGGTATACCCCAACTGTTGTCTGTTTTTTAGATCATTCTACATTGGCACATTTTGGAGTATGTGCGTAGGAGCCCAGCGTGGGAGCTGCGCTATGCCATCTCCCTCCCCCATCATCCTCCATCTCCATCTTTATCCCAGGCGGAGCACCACACCTGGTGGGTCCGCCATAGGTGGTCTGCCGAGGTGCAGACGGTACTTCGACAAAGGGCCGAGTACACTGTGTCGTGTCCTGAGATACCGCAACTCCAGTAGCGAGACGGGCAAACCGCGACGAAGATGTCGGTAAACCGACTATTGAGGAGGGCGCAGGTGTACACTGCACTGTGGCTAGGAGGCGCCGGGGGGATGCGAGGCGCCAGGGGCAGACTGAGGACGACGCTGGCGACAGAGCTCAACGTAGTGGCGGTCGAGGGCGGCGGTGAAAGGGCACCACGAGGAGGTATGACTATCCTAGCGACAGCGCAAACACCCACGCCGGCCCAAAATGGTCGCACATTCCTCAGCGGAAATGACACTGCGAGGAGGGACAAAGCCCTGAGGGAGGTCCTGCTGAGGGACCTTGGGGGGCGACACGCCAGTGTGACCAGAGCGGCTGCCTGCCCGGGAGAAGATGGAGAGGGCGAGCTGGAAGCGCTCGGCTGTAGGGAGAGTAGAGTCCTCCAGGTGGTAGCGGACGGCCTCGCAGAGGTCGAGGTCGTCGCTATGGTCACCCTCAGGCAACAGCGGGGCAACAACGTCCTGCTCACCGTACTCGAGCGCGTTGAAGTAGCGCGAGAAGTGACAACCCTGCTGAGCGGAACGGTGGGGACGAATGTGGAAAGGGGAACGACGCTGGGAAGTGTCGTGAGAGGAGGAGGGAGCGTAACCAGTACAATCAAGCAAGGAGAAGGAAGTGGGTTGAAGACGGGCCCGCATCCGCTAATGGCCCCTGGTGGTCTCGTAAGCCTGCGGGGCCGATGTGAAGTCATACCGTCGTAACTCGGAGCGGTACTCAAGGGGAAGGTTGGCCAAGAAACGATCGATGAGGGAAGCCTCGGGGAGGAATGCCACATCACAAATGAGGCGGGCGTCCTGAAAGACCTGGATGTGGCAGTCCAGGTTGGTAGCGCCACCGGAGCCGGACCAGCGTGTACTGACGACACACTCGAAGCCGTCAGTCACATCATATCGGGCTTCGAAGCGATCCTCGAGCAACGCCTGAAAATCCATGAAGGTTGGGGTTCGACCCTCACGAAGGGAGTGAATGTAGAAATCCTCCCAGGCGTCGAAAGGACCACCACGCAGGCACGTGGAGAGGTGAGCCATCCACGTGCCGGGTGGGACGCCCATGAGCTGGAGCGTGCGGGTGGCAGACTGCAGCCACCGAGACACGTGTATCCGTGTACTGTCATACACGGCAATGTCCGTCAAGCAGACGAGTGGTGCACCACCATTGTGGTGGCGAGGAGATCGAGCAGAAGAGGCCTTCACTGCGGCTGAGTAAGTTGGCGCTGGTCCTGGAGAAGGGGGCGCAACTGACTGTACACCTGGGCCGCATGGGGGAGCGGCGGGGGCAACCGCGACAGACTGCGAGGGAGCTGCGGTAGAAGAGGTCGCAGCAACCGGGGGAGTAAGAAGGAGGTAGAATGGGGGTGGAGGGGGTGCAGGGCGGGGGAAGCGAGCCTGCATGGATGGAGGAGTAGAGGAAGAAGGGGATGCGGCCAAAGGCGCGGCCACCTGTGATGGTAGGGGTGGTTGAAGGCGTAAGAGGGCGAAGTCGGCCCGGATCTGGGCAAGCTCGGTCTCAAGACGGAGGACATAGATCGCGCGAGGAGTAGGAGGAGGAGTGGGGGAAGTAGACGCACGAGCGGTGCGAGGCATCCCATATGGGAGAGAGCCACATGGCGTGGCGGTCGTGCGAAGCAGAGGGAGAAGCGGGGCACTCGAAAAAGCTGAGACCGCGGCATAGGGTTGTGGTTCCGTGGCCGTAGTGATCGGAATTTGGGCGTGTGCGCCCGTAGAGTGAGGGAAGGCCTGGCCCGTGGCGGCCGTCGCGCTAGGGGCGTGGACGATCACCAGGATGGCCGGGTCAGGGGCAGCGGAGGAGGACGCTCCACCGTGGCCACCACTTCAGAGGACTATGGGCCCTGACTGGGAGCCAGGAGAAGAGAGAGAGTTAGGAGAGGAAGGACAGACAGCGTACTGGAGTTGCCGCATGCCAACGGCAAGAGTCGCCACCTGAGCCTGTAGAGGCGCAAGGGTCAGCAGTTGCGCCTGGATGGGTGCGAGGAGGGAGGTGAGGAGGGTGTGCAGATCCCCCTGGGGCTGATGGCCTTCGTCCGCCGACACGGGTGTGGAGCCTGCTGCCGAGGTCGTTGCCACATCGGCGACTTGTGATACGCCGTCAGCCATGGGGAGGTGACGGGCCGGACGGGAGGGGGTCGGAGGAGGTCCGCGTGAGTGGAGGGCGTAGGGGGGGGTGAGCGGTAGAAAGTGACGGGCGGCGCTAGCGAGTCAAGCGCGGGCGCCGTCAAAGGTGAGGGGTGGTTCGGGTCCAGGGTACCCGAAAGGGGAGGGAAAGTAGGGAGAATGGGTGATGGGAGAGTAGGGGGGTTAGGAAAACCCTATACCCTAGAAAAACCTTAAGAAAATCCTAACCGGAGTTTGAGTGGTTAGGGTAGGGTATCGGTGACCTAATCAAGAAAAGAGAATAGCAACCATGGAGGGGTAGGGGGAGAGAAAAATAAATAAACAACGAAATTTTGAGAGAAAAAATAAAATAACTAATAAAATAATTAAAAAAATAAATAAACAAAATATGAAGAGAGAAATAATTATTTATTTATTTATTTGGAATTTTTGGCAGCATTTCCTTACCCCCCATGGGGTCAAGAATGTGCCAAGA